TTGCCGTGGACAGAAGGCTGTTGGCTGGTCATGTCTAGAAAGTCTTAACTCGTTGAATTGGACATTCCTCATAGAGGAGAAGACGACTCGATCGCTGGGACAATACTTTTATTCGCCTGACGTTTCGAGATCCATCACGGATTCGTCATCAGAGACATAATCAGAGAGCAGTAGCAGATACGAGTACACCCGTATACCCTATAGAGTTGTCCTTCTAACTGGATTATGTTATAGCAGTGAGAGGTATGCTACATAGATTTGCATTTTCCTACCACTTACGAAACGACTGAACATCTTCAGCTAGACATACATTTTGTGTGCGAAAAGTCACACAAATTAGAATGAGATACTGTTGGGTCTCCAATAAGCATTGCCCCTTGGCTGAGTCAGTCATCTTCAACAAAGGCATAATCAGAACTTAAAAAAGCACACATGAGAGACACCATACAGTATAGTAGTTTCGGTTTAAAGCCGACATGTTGGTCGTTTTGAGGAGTTCTCAATGTTTTTATACCGATCACGACAGATGATTTAGTACCGAAAGTGGCTAACATATGTGTCAGTGCCGAACTAGAAGACAAGGTGTTCGTCAAATGAGAGGAGTGGAAAAGTTTCGTTGTGTTAAACATCTCACTTTAATTTTAATAAAAATATTTAACATTCCAAAATCGGTACTGATTACGCAGTCTCTGATTATATCGTACTTGCCCCTATCTAGCCCTGTTATTGTAGTTCAGGATGACAGACTTATGTAAGGATGATGGCCTGAGTGCTCAACCGGACACAACTTGGGCCTCTGATAGCATAGCCATGGTAAGCTTTCGTCAATGAAGGGACTATCCAGAGTTAGCACTATCTAATTTGATTTGATGGCGGTTTCAGATCAAGTGAGCCGCGATGACGCGTGCACGTCAATCTGAAAGCAATACACTGAACACAGTAATCGCCCGAGCACTTAGTGGCCTACTCGACCGGGAACATACTACATTTCCGAGATGCCTATGCCCGGTGCCTACACTCTTGCGTGCGAAGTTGACTGCGATGACATTATTCACGCTGCTCTGCGGTCAAAGTATTTTAGTGTCACGGTAGCGCCAAACACCCGGACGAAAGCACATC